TAAAATATATGTTAATTCCTTTGTCAGCAAATTGATTTTAATTTCACAGTTCAGTAGTTTATCAAAACAAAAAATATCAAAGTTGGATGATTATCTTCAAATTTGATATATGGTATATGTATAACTTTTGTTTCTTTTTATACAACTTTATTAATATTAATATTAAATTAATACTATTATTAACTTAATTAATTAGTCTACAATATTTTTTTTTGTTTTGTCTGCTTATGAAGAGGATATTGCGACTTAAATTAAATAAGAAAGCAATTTATTGATAAATAATCAATGGAATCGAAGATTAACTATTTATTGCATATAAATATTTTGTTTAATTGCTCATAAAGTTTATCAACAAATATTTACTATCTCTATTAGAAATAATAAATTTATATTACGGTATTATATACAGATTAACCAACTATTAATCCATTCATTTAGCTAATGTTTAATTTACCACTTCTTATTTTTTTGGGAAAAAGGAACAATAAATTAATAAAAGCAGTCCCTGCGTTGTAATTTTCTGCACCTTCGAATGGAAACCTTGAAATCGCTTTTAAAACTATAACAGTTAATAAATCTGACAAAATTGGTCAGTACCGAAAATAATAAAATTTTGAATATGGTGCTATATTCTCAGTGGATGTTTCTCAAATATTGGAAAAAAAATTCTAGTGACATATCCACAGCGTCCAGGCGTTGTGTATTTTTTTCTGAGAAACATTCCCGTATTTAGGTGCCTCTGGAAATAACTTGTAAGATCTTTTTCGTTTTTTTTTAACTTGCTACTCTTTGACGTTGTTAAATTTGATGTACGGAAAGCGAATGACATTGGAGGAATGTTGACTTTAATTTTTTCATCAAAATGAAATGAAATTAAGCATATTTGTATATTGTCACAGAAATTAATTATGCAAAAAAATTATAAACATTTTTAAGAAAAAAGTTGGACTAAAGATTTTTCTTAGGTACTTACTGCTAGTAATATATCTAAAGCAACCCTTAAAATAAAAAAAAAAACATTAAATAGAAAAAAGGTATTGCAACTAAGGTTTTTTGTCCTACATTTGAGTGACAGTGACTAGAAATATAACACCGTTTTCAAGGTTTAGTTATTTTCAGTTGTTTTCAAGAAAAACACTTTTCACAAGATATATCGTTCACCCTGTATATCGAAAAGTAAGGCTACGTTTTCATATCTGACACAACTTCTTCTTGATCGCAGAATAACAGAAAAAGTTCCTATAAGGTGTACCTACTGATAATTAATCAAAATATGTTATGGATCATTTCATGTTGCAGAAACAGATGGGGAAGCATGTAAATAGTATTTTTTTATACATGGATACGGTGACTGTTTGAATTACAATTACCATTTTTTGAAAAATAATTTAATATCAAGAGATTTTTAGCAAATTATGTCCATTTATTTATCTCGAGAAAGATGAATCTTAGCAGCAAGCAACAGCTTGTCTTTTGTCCTATAGTTGTTACAATTTGAAATACCTTGGAACATAAAAAATTACGAGCGAAAATTACTAGGTCTACCCCGAAAGTAAGCCCCTGTATATTAAAAAAACTGAGGCATACACATACATTTGTGGATATACAGAAATCAACGCTATATTCCAATTTTTATATCCTGAAAACGAAGTACTTAAGGTCAGATGTTTATAGAACATTTTTCGGTAATTTGTAATGTAAAATCCGCCACCAAAATTTGGTCTTTTAATTACACCTTTATAATGGATACTAACGAATATATCAGAGGGATTCTCTAATAGTCTAAAAATTAATACTTATCTAAAATATTTTGACTTAATATAAAATAGATAGAGAATGAAATAATGGATCACCCCCTAAAACTACTCCAACTTAAGCTGAGTTGTAAGCATAAAATATGAATAATGGAATAATTAAAGTAGTATATCTCCCTTAATACCCATCTTGAGAAAAAAAAATTATGTAATAAGGCATCCATATTTTTTGTAGAAAATATTAAGAACAATTTGGGTTTGGGATCACTATACTTATTCATTTAATTGTAGGTAATTTATACTATTATTTAGAAGAATTCAAGTAAGTAAACTGTAACGATCATTTTGTCTGGTTTTCAAAATCTTTCTATTTCTATTACAGGCTGTTAAATTAATTATATGCATAAACTTTAAGGGGTGATTCTCTGAATTATTTTAAACTAAATGGTTATGTAAGTATTGGTCCGCAAATCCATAGTTCTCGTGTTGAAATGAAAAAAAAATCCTTCTTGTTAAATATATCTTGAGGCGTTTGATTTGGAATTACGAAACTTCACTTTATTAAACCTTCATTTCGCGAAAAAAGTTCATATAATTTTTTCCTACTCGTATACAGCGTGTTTGGTAAGTCGATGCATTCCTTGCAGGAGGCTATAGTACAAGTGATTTGTGATATATTTACTTAATATACTATATTCCGAAAATGCTTAGTTTCCGATCTACAGGGTGTTAAAGTTTTAATAAAAAAAATGCAGATTTATAAATATTGCGGAAACCGCTCAAAATATTTTAATGAAATTTTACAGGCCTTGATAGTTAACAACAATACATGTTTTACGATAAAAATATTGTTTTCAGTTTCACCAGTGGCGTGCGCATAGGCACGTATTGTTAAAGAAAAAAAATGATACACCACTGATTTTTCTTAAAATAAAAATTATATTTGAATTCCTTGTTCAATTTGGAAGAGAAAAGGTATCTTGACTGTTTTTCTTATGACGCACTGTTTCCGAGTAAAAAAATAAAATTGATTTATTGCATGGCGTAATTCGGTTTCAATAATTTGAAAAATAACAGAAATTATGCACTTAACTGCTTCACACTCAAACACTCAAAGTGACAGCTATTATTAATTTTGTCAAACAATAACAAAAACGAGTGCACAGCCAACTTGCTAATTTCTGTTTAGATAGCAAATAGTGAATCTAAAAACGGATAAAATTTTTTTAGACTGATGTGTTCCTGCGAGGAATAATAATTTTTTGTAATAAAATTGGTACAAAAAAGCTAATTTTAATTTTTTTACTCGAAAACGGTGCGTCATAAGGAAAACAGTCGAGAAACCTTTTCTCTTCAAAATTGAACGAGGAATTAAAAAATAATTTTTATTTTAAGAAAAATCAGTGGCGTATAATTTTTTTCTTTAAAAATATCCAAAGACGTGCCTGTGCGCTAAAAACAATATTTTTATCGTAAAACATATATTGTTGTTAATTGTCAAGGCCTGTAAAATTTCATTAAATATTTATAAATTTGCAATTTTTTTAATTAAAACTTTATCACCCTGTAGCTCAGAAACTAAGCGTTTTCGGAGTATGGTATATTAAGGAAATATATCACAAATCACTTGCAGTATAACCTCCTGCAAGGAATGCATCGACTTACCAAACACCCTGTATATGCGATTTTAACTATAACATAATCATGAAAAGTCCGAGAAAATAATTGACGTCTTTTTTTAACTTATTTAAGATACCTCTTACTACCTCTAACAAAGTGTACAATTTCTACATCTATGATTTTTTCAGACTAAATTGTACTTCTAGCAAAAAAAAAATATTATGAACTTTTTTGAGAAACGAGTAGGTCTTGAATTATTTTACGTTTATTGTGTGGTAACGTTATTGAAAATTAAAAAGGTGCGTTTTTTTGAATAAAATAAAAGATATCTGTTTATATTTATAATTATAGTTGAAAATAGATTGCATATCCATTATGTAACACTGAAAATCAGTTTGAGCTTTATTACAGTTCTTTCGAAAATTGTTAAGTCTGACATTTTTCAAAACCGTGAATATTGATTTTCTGATAAAATTAAAGGAAATTTATTTAATATAATAGTCTTTATGTCCATTATTATTACAAATATACATATATTTAATAACACAGGTCAACAAGGGTTAAGAAGCAGACACACTAATATACATTCCCGAAGGATTTTGGTGCGCTGAATCCAAATCTGGCCGTAGAATTTCTCTATCACGTCAGGTTTTTGAGATATCCTAACCTAAAAGTGCAAAAAACACTGTTTTTCGTCATATTTGAGGTTTATATAGTAATGCCATCTATTCTTTTTCAAAAAAAATACATATAATTTAAAGGTACAAGGCTCCCTCCCATACTCAGAAACCTGCAGTACATACGAACTCAAACTCACAAACTCCAAATCCACAAACCCCAAACCCACAATCCCTAAACCCACAAACCCCAATCCCACAAAACCCAATCCCACAAAACCCGATCCTACAACTCCAAGCTTACAAACCCCAAGCCCACCAACTCCAAACCCACAAACAAATGTGTAAGAAGTTTCTGAATTGCAATCGACTGCTTGATGTCTAAGGGATCCTTAGTAGATTTTCGCATATTAAGAAACTGAGAAACTTAAAAATTTCAACGTGATATCTCAACGAAAAAAAAAAAAAAGTTATTTGATCAAACTAAACGGCATTCGAAGGAGAGAGCCTTGTACTTTTAGATTCAATTTATTAGTTTTTTGAAAAAGAATAGATGGCATTACTTCATAACCTCAAATATGATGAAAAACAGTTTGCACTTTTAGGTTAGGATGGCCAAAAAACCTGACGTGATAGAGCAATTCTGCTGCCATATTCGGATTCAGCGCACCTAAATCCTTCGGAAATATATATTCAAGTTTCTGCTTCCAAACAAAAGTTAAATTTTGTTGGTCTGTGTAATGAATATAAATTGTAACATTATAATTTTAATCAAATGTTTGGATTTTGTTAATTTTATGGAGAAAAACACATCTAAGTAGTTTAAATGTGGCTACTATTAGTACTATCAGCAGCAGCTTTAATCGTGTAACTCCATTTTATTAGCAATATAATACTTTTAAGATAACGGAAACAACTTTCATGCTTATCATTTTTACAACTTTTATAAAGATTATCTATATTGAGGATATGATGTTACCTTTAATTCATAAAAAGTGATAATCTAAAGTATATAAATTGATTTACTGAAGAAATTATTATCAGTTTTGTAAAATCATAGAACTGTAGAAGCAAAAATGGCAAAGTTGCAAATTTTTGTTTTCATTGTGGCTTTAAGCCAAGGTAAGTTCGATTTTTCAATTTTAGAGTATTATAACTCTATTTGTTTTTAAAAGTGGAATGTTGTAACAAAAATATAACTTCTATCTGTAGTGTACGGTAGCATCGAAATTACCAACTTCCCTGCCCTCCTACCAATTGAGGATATTGACGTGGTTGACCCCAAAGATTTCCCCACTGTACCTGTTATCGTAACCCCACCATGCGTCGCATCCATCAGAGCTCTCCTTGAAGCCATCCTCGAAAGATTGCCAGAAATTGAACAACCAAGACCTCTGCCCGTAGACCCAGTCGAGCCAGTAGTTCCAGAAGTAGAGGCCGAACCCGAAGATAGTCCAGTCGTAGAAACTCCCTGCAGTGCCTGTTTCGAGCACATCAACTCCCTGTTGACTAGCGCTGAGAAGGTTATCGCTGTCAGGAGAATGGCTCTATCATTGTATCGTCGCCGTTAAGTTTATTTGCCTTGACTTATAAATACAGTACCAAGTAAATGTTTGTTTGTTTTTGCATTTGACCCAACAGTGTTAGGTTAAGGACAATAGTGAAATAAATATACACCTTTAAAGACGATTTTAATTTTCGAGTGAACAGGAAGTAGTGCCGTTATGGATTAATAAAAACACCAAATGTTGGTCTAATTAGTAATCTTTTTCATCAGTTTATTTTAACATGAGAAACCTTTACTTTTTTCTTGCCTTATACTAGTATTATATGTAATTTAAATTATACTTAATTTGTTTACTATTATACAGAATGTTGTAAAAAACTTTCGGGAGTTATTTATGTTGTCAGAACAAAAGGTTTGTTTTTTCCCCAAAACGATTCATAAAGGCTCAACGATCCTTCAAAGGCTGGATGTCAAAAATAGTTTCATCAATAACTCAAGAAGATTAAAGATTTACTTTAAACTGCTTCATACTAGCCTATATTTTCTTTTCTAAACAAAAGATTTCTTAGCGATCTCTATTTCTTAGTTAAAAAATAAGTTTATATTATTGATTGGCTATCCCAATTTTATTGAAATGCCTTAATTTGTAGAAATATTAAACAAAAAAAAATCTTTTGAAAGACAGTAACTTTTTAAGCAAACATTTTGGTATGAGGATTTGATTATGTTTTGCACCTAATTAATTATGACTCAGTATGCATACATATAATTTGAAAATCCAACTAGTGGTGCGATTAAGAAGAATCTGATGGATTCCTACATTAAAAAATACATATTTTAATCAATACTTTGAACTTCTTGAGTTTTTTTTCTTTCACAAGCAAAACAATTAAAATTCATAATAATGTTAAGACTTTGTTAGCAGCTGACCATAAGTAAGGACCAATTATTTTGCTCCAATTTCTCAAAAATTAGAGGTACAAAGTTGTAGATAAGTTGAACCCATCTTTTATATCATTCATTCCAACCATATCAATAGTCTAGCTACGAAATACATCCGTAGGAGTTAGAAAAGGGTCGATTTAGCTTTAAACCTGGCAAATACTACTCCTGTTACACTGTTTACAGTCGTCATTCATACTTAAACAAAGAACATTATACCAAAGATTCGCAAATCTTTTCAATAATCATCATAATCATCCTAATCAGAAAGTCTAAAAATCCAATAAGAAAGCTATACACCAACTAGGTAGCCTCTATTTTTAACACTTACCTGATATTGAAACAGCATTTGATCTAATCTCCTTTAAAAAATTGATAACAGAAGCTAACTGTGGAATTGATAGTACGATTTGTGGATAAATAAAATTATGCGTAACAAATAGACTCATTCAGCAGCACTTTGGTGCGACAGTGGTGATATATGTCCAAGTAAACTAACAAAGTAGGAAAGGCATATGGTCATGTGGGGAAATACGTATGGGGATATAGCATGAGACCTAATGCAATGAGCAAGATTCCTAACCTTTTCGGTAGATATAAACCAGAAGGTAACTAGTACAGGGATAACTCTAGATAACAAACAAACCTAGAATGTGCTTGTGTATTTAAAAAAGCCTTAGCACTAAATGAGCAGTGGGGAAAGCCAGGGACTAAACTAGACAGTGTTACACTAACCGTACATGGTAAGAATCATGGTTAGTTATAGTTTTCCATGGCCGCCAAAAAGCTATATCAAAGAATTGCATAACTGCAGCTATTCAAATCTCAGAGGTTGACCTATTTTAAGTTGATAGGGCAGCCAAAGTCCAACCCATCCTCCGTGACTGTAACTTCTGTGAGCTGGACTACCGGCCTTATAATTCGGAATTGACTCTATCTGATTATACAGGGTGATTCACTTTTTACGGACATTAGGACTTTAACCATCGATAGATTTCGTAAAATGAATGTCATTTTGAAGTATACACTTTTTCTTCTTTTAGAGATATAAGCTCGTGAACAAACTTTTTTTTGTTTTTATTTATTTTTTCTTAAACTATGAAAGCTATTTCTTTTATATTTAGTACGAAGTGTACGAATGAAAAGCTCTATCGATTTTACAAATTATTGTGAAAATAGATCGAATTTTTCAAAATGAATATATTTTTCTTACATTGCGGTTTATTCTACAGCAAAAAGGTCTTTTACTATTTTTAAATGAAATGCTTGGTTTTTGAGAAAAATGGCTTCTTATGGATTCATTACATGTGAAATGGTCAAGTTTTTCAAACAAAGTAATACAGAATAACGTATTTAAGATTGAAAAACAAACAGAAATAACAATGAACAATAGAGAATAAAAGAAATAGTATCACAACAAATGTTCCACATGTCCATCGCCTAATTAAGCTTTGAACTGCTCTCCTTGCGGTTGTGTTTAAGAGTTTCACAATTATTTTCAATTCTTCTTTCTTAACTTTTCAAGAGTGCAGACTGGTGAACTATACACCCTTTCTTTAATAAATCCCCAAACGAAATAATCCAGGGGATTTAGATCTGGAGATCGTGGCATCTAAGCAATGGAATCGGTATCAGGTTATGTATGATTAATTTCCAAAATACGCTTGATCCAACGATGCTCCCCGAGCCACTGCCTAATTTCAAGACCATAACGAGTCGTAGAGTAAAGTACTCGTAAATCTTTTTTGTTCGAAAAACTTAACCATTTCACATGTAATGAATCCATAAAAAGTCATTTTTTCTCAAAAACCAAGCATCTGATTTAAAAATAGTAAAAGACCTTTTTGCTGTAGAATAAACCGCAATGTAAAAAATATATTCAAATTTCCATTGGTGTAGTAATTATATTGTCAGAGCCCCTTACGGACGCCTATGATTTCATGGTTTAAGAAAAAATAAATAAAAGCAAAAAAATGTTTTAAGAACTTATGTCTAAAAGGAAGAAAAAGTGTATACTTCAAAATAATATTATTTTGACGAAATATATCGATGGTTAATGTCCCAATCATAAAAAGTGAATCACCCTGTATTGTTTCGTTGTTAGTGACCAAACTTTTCTAGTGCCGAGTATTAAAATAGTTTCAAATTAAAATAAGAACACTTTCGAAAGCAATTCTTGAAATGCAGAAATATATGAATTAATGTATGGTAGTTAGAATTGCATGTTGACCTTAGTCCAAAATACGCAGTCATAATTAAGAACATGAATAGAAATATATTTTTTGTGGAGGAGTGAAATATCGAATAATTTCAATCTAACAGGTACATTTTTTCTTTAATAGGTGATTTTGTTTCCTTTTTTATTTAATGTCAGTAATTTCAATTATGTATTCGGAAGGCCTAATAAAGACAGAAAATCGAAAAATAAATTTTTTCTCGGCCTTTTAAAAAATAAGCAAATTGCCCCTTAACTCCCGTTAACTCGGTGCTCCACTTCGTAATAGCGAAGGCGCTGCGCAGGCTTACGGAGTACACAGCGATCACACGTTGTAGCGAAACAGCCGATTTCCTAGATTGTCTCGTCCAGTTTTGCAATTGCTTTCAAAATCAAAGTGCAACGGATCTAAACTTTATTAAGACTTTATTGACGAATGAGCGAGTGTTTTTTAGCCGTATTTGTCAATTTAAATAAGTAGGTACCATACAACACTGAAAAGTAATACGTCACACAATAAGCTATACTTGCGTACTACAAACTGAATATTTAATTGAACATAATACTAAGAACTCATATTCAATTATGAAACAGTGAAAACGTTAAGAATGTTAGAGTTACGTTAGTGACCAAACAGTACGGTAAGTCATTCTCGATGTAGGCCAGTGGTCAGGAGTGGTCCGAAAAAGGGATTAAATAATTTGAAAATATTTTTTTTTCGCCGTAAATATGCATTTCAAACATTTTCGCGTATTCAGATTATACTCATTTTTCCCCATCATTAAAATTAATGACATTATAACTAAATCACCCTGTACACTAACTTTTCTCTGAATCTAACCTAGATATTAAATATCAAAGAGTGTACACAACATTTGATATTTTAATTTTTTTTTTAAATAATGCGACTCACCGGATACACAAAAAAACATTGTCGTGAAAATTCACGAAAATTCATAATATAGGTAGATCCGCCTGCAAAATTAAAATGTCGCACTTTGATGTATAACCGGATCTATTTTTACTACAATTAAGTTTCGTGACAATAAATTTTTGTGTATATGTAAAATACTGGGTGTTTAAAAAACTTTTTCTCAGATGTCGAAAGTAAAATTTATGGCAACAAATTTACATCCGCATGTGTATTATACAATGTTTAATAATGTGTAATCAAACATTAGTTTTCTTTCTTTGGCATCCAGCTTTCAAAGATATCTGGGATAGGAGGCTAATATCTCAATAACATCCGAAATCCAACTAAAGACGGCTAATGCTATTCCCAAACGATATCACGGCCCTAATGAAAGATGACCTGGCTAGATTGCAGGCTTACAGATATATTTGAAAATGGGAAAACTGGATGCCGATGGTCCATTTTCGGCGCTCTTCCATTGTTTGTCAGATTAAGAATATCCCAGGCGGCAGACCGTCGACTCGCACTGGCTATCAGCATTTGTCAGCGTTATATAACTCATTCTTCCCCTTTCATTTATCTATTTGTGCAAGCACGGGCAGTTTATAAAGTGGGAGGGTACAATTTCTTAAGAAAACATATTTTGCAAAAAAATAGATGTTTCTTAATGTCGTTTTATTATATAACTGCTATCTATGTAATGTGTTGGTTTAAAATTGCAGTATAAATATTTGTTAATTATGTTTTTTTAGACAAACTTTAGGTCCAAACACGAACCAATCCGAAAATTCTGACTTTATATTCTGATTCAGTGGGACAAAACAATATAGGATGCACTGGTATGTTTCAATTACACAGCTCACTTTTTTATGCGCTGTGTAATATGTACATTAATTATTATTAAATTAAACATAATGAGTAGACAAAATTACATTTTCTACTCAAGATGTAATACAGAATTTTCATCCTTTGTTGCTAAAAAGTGGAAAATATTTAAAAAGCATATTCATGAAGCTTTTATTGAAATATATCAAAAAATACATTTTTGGCTTGTTTCAGTTTAAAAAATTGAAGTTACAAATTTAATTATTCTCTGAAAATGGCTGTCCTCAGTTTTGGTTTCTAGCCTTTCTTCTGTCACTGTTTCAGAATTGTATGCTTCTGAATACACGTGAATCTTTGTGGTATCTGCTTGATCACATTCATCGTTTAAACTGCAGGCTCCTGAAATTTCGTCTTCAGTATTTTTTTCATTACTCTCATCATTTTCATCAGACTGAGTATAACTCGTTTCATTTCTATCATCGTTAATACCATTTTGCGCAGCTTCATACTCTGCAACATTTTCTTTAATATCTTCTACAACTGTATCTTCAACTTTATTATCTTTTTCTACCTCAGATCTTACATATTCAGATCCATTTGTCTCTGCGTGTATATCATCAATATCATTATTTTCAAACTTATTATCCTCAGGTTTTTCTGTAATGTTTTCATCGACCTTGTCATCAGGGTTTATACTATCTGTATCCTCAGCTGGACTTGTTTCTACTTTTATGTTTTCGTTGATACTTTGTAAATCACTTGATGACATTTCTGTTGCTATGTGTTCGTTTGTATCCTCATTTTCTTCTTCAGAATTCATGATACCTGTTTCAGATCTCCCATTTTCGGTTGCACTTGCTCCCGATACGTCCTCACTGTTTTCTATATTACTTTCAACTATGCCTGCATCTGCATTTACTTGCTGTTCTTTTTCATCTGATTCTTTACCACTCACTTTCACCTCTTGTGTTTTACTAGTTTTCTCATTTTCTTCAACTGCAGATTCAGATTTTTCATTGGCTGCATCAGTACCAGTTTCGGTATTACTCTGTGTGTCTAAATTTTCATTTGTAGTCTTCTTTTCTGCCTGATCATGTACATTCGTCTCTCTTCCGATTTCTTCACTTCCCTCGGCGTTACTTTTTTCTTTAGCGTTACTGACTGCGTTAACATTTTGTTCAAGATTTTCATTATCATTTGGACCTTCATTATTATTTTGATTTTGAGCAGTTTGGCTTGGTGCGGATTGACTTCCTGTAACTGGATTTTCTGCATTCAAATTTGTTTTGCTTGCTTGCGATAGCTTTAATTTCTCATTTAAATTTTTCTCCACATTTGCTACAAGTTGTCTCAAGCTATCTATGTTCTTTTGATTTTCTTCATCGTCACTCTCAGGTTCTACTCCATGTATTCTTATTACTTTCTCAGCTAGCATGTTTATTTGTTGTTTGTCTAACAATACAGGTGCCTTTTTAGTTTTTGGTTTTGACTTTACTGTCTCTTTGTTTTCTTCCGTAACGGCCTTTTCGTTTGAAGTATCAGCTTCGCTGGAAGCGGCAGCTTTCGCCAGTTCATCATCATTGACTTCATCTTGTTTAATTTTTTCTGTGCCATCGTCGTCTAACAAGGAAAATACTCCTGAAAAGAAAATATATAAGAAAATATTAGAAATACAAGGTAATCGATTTATTTTAAACAGACTTAAACCCGTTTTCATTGACCAATTTTTGGCCCAACAAATTGATCGAGAAATTAATCAAGTAATATTGGTACAAGTGCCTATTATACAGGGTGATTCACAAATGGTGACCAAAAATTAAATCTCGTATTCTTTGGTGAAATTTAAAGGGAGTTTTTCCTATAAAGTTTTTATCTAAGACGCTTCCTTAAAAAAATATAGGCTGTTTAAACTTCAAAAAATATTTTTAATTATTTTAAACAACACAGCCACACAAAAAATAAAAAGTTGTCTGTACGCTTCACGCAGCATATATTATCTGTAGTATTTTTGCCTCCTGATCACGAATCCGGTATCAGAATTGAGCTATCACATCACAGGAATTTCCTAACCTCAAAAACCAGGTCAAAAATTCACGAAAAAGTATTAAAAAAAATACAAAAAATTTTTTTCTATATTCAAATGTTAGATATTACGAATTTTCAAAAAATAACAGATTCGCGCCAAATTTGGTGTATGGGGGTTTTCGGAGTCGCTGATCACGAATCCGAGGTCAATTTTACAAAATTCAAGATGGCGGATCCAAGATGGCCGACCAAGTTTTCAAAAAATAACACAGCGTCAAATTTGGTATACGTGGGTTTTCGTGGCCGCAGTTTGTAATATTTTTGTTTACTTTATAACCTGAGTACCCAATCATGTTTTCACTTTCTTTTTTTCGGTTATATCTTGTTATTTTTTCTGTAAAAGATCTATTAACGTGTTTTCTGCCTAATCTCAAGTAATAAAGTACATAGGTAAATAATTGATCTCGGATTTGTGATCACTGACCCCGAAAACCCTGGTATACCAAATTTGACACAAATGTGTTATTTTTTGAAAATTTAGTCGGCCATGTTAGATCCGCCATCTTGAATTTTGCAAAATTGACCTCGAATACGTGATGAGCGACCCCGAAAACCCTCGTATACCAAATTTGTCGCGAATCTGTTATTTTTTGAAAATTCGTGATATCTTAACCTTAATTGACCCGTTTTTTTTTTATGTTAGAAAAAGAACCATCAATTCTGACCACGGATTCACATTCGGCGGGGTCTTAACTATATAAATGTGTTCATTTGAATATATAAAAAAATTGTTCTATCTTTCCTAACACTTTTTCGTGAATTTTTGATATTTTTGATCTGTTTTTAAGGTTAGAAAATTCCTGTGATGTGATAGCTCAATTCTGACACCGGATTCGTGATCAGGAGGCAAAAATACTACGGATAACATATGTCGCATGAAAAAAGTACAGACAACTTTTCTTTTTTTGTGTGACTGTGTAATTTAAAAACTAGTAAGTGAAATAATTTTAAATTGGGCACATGTATTTATGTAAACACTATCCAGAATCTGAGGACTTTTCCTAAAATTTACATGTTCCAGTGGCGGAGATACAGAGTATCGGTGGCATATTTTTCTAAATAAAATTCTACGCCACTGCTTTACGGTAACAACCATAATATTTCGTCTTTCAATTTTCTACAAATTACTACTCTTTTATGTTTTTCGAAAAAAGTCTGATTTTCGAGTAAAACTTTAAAAACGAACTGAGAACACACTTCGATATTCGAATATAATGCCTTTTAAAATTACATAGTGGGCTGCGATAGCAACTTTGACATTCTGAGCAGTTATTAAATAATTCTTTTCGTCAGATTCAAACAACAATAAATTTCGAACAAATTACATTTCCGTTACTAAAAAGATGTCGGGCCTATGTTCGTGGAAATGGAGGTATTTTTGAGCATTTACTCAAATAAAATTATTAAAATGGTGACTAATGTTATTAATTTCTTTATTCTAATAAATATCCGAATGATTAGTGCTTGTCATGTCATTTAAGTAAAAGTGTTTTCAGTTGGTTTTTTAAGTTTTACTCGAAAATCAGTTTTTTTTTTCAAAATACATAAGAGAGTAGTAATTTGTAGAAAATTGAAAGACGAATCCAAAAATATCATGGTTGTTACAGTAAAGCAGTGGCGTACTATTTTATTTAGAAAAATATGCCACCGGTACCCTGTATCCCCGCTACCGGAACATGTAAATTTTAGGAAATGCCCTCAGATTTTGGATAATGTTTACATAAATACATGGGCCCAATTTCAAATTATTTCACTTACTAGTTTTTAAATTATTTCAAAGAATTAAAAATATTTTTTAACACCCAGTATCTTTTTAACGAAGCATCCTAAATAAAAACTTTATAGGAAAGACTCTTAAAATACACCAAAGAATACGAAGTTTCATTTTTGGTCACGATTTGTGAATCACCCTGAATAAATTGTGATAAATTAACTAACACCATTTATTTTGCCAAAAAAACGAGAGACTGGAAAACAGATTCTAATTTATGAATGATTTTTAGTAGCATTTAATATTTATTGAATAGTGCCAATTTCAAATTACATTTGACAATTTCGATACATTTTTTATTTTTAAAATAGTACAGATACAGGTTTGTTGTAACAGTTACGTTATTCTAGCATAAATTACAATTCTATTAAAGAAATGAACATCACAGCAGGCCTAGGGATTCTGATAGTGAGTTTGTACTCAGTAACTAACGACAAAGATCACGGCATAATCCAAAAAATCATTGTACTATATATGTTTTTTATTTTCAGGCTCATCGATTTTTATGTTCAATTACGTATTTTTATAACGTCTTTATGTATTCCAGATAACATGACGATATAGAAGCTATGACGTCATCAACACTGTTTTTTAATTGAATGTGATCATATTTATATTAATTAAAAAACCTACATGCAATTTTAATTAATCTCCTTTAAAAATAAATAAATATGTTTCGGTTTTTAAGTTTTTTAATACATACAGGGTGTTTCTAAAATAGGGTTCTAAACTTCTGCTGCGTTTATAACTCATTAAAATAAGCCAAAAAGTTCCTATTAACATGTGCCTTAAAACGCACCCTTAGGAAGTTATATGCCCTTAAAAGGGCTCAAACAAAACTGGTTTTTTTTCTGTTATTGACAAAACGGTCGCAAATAAATAGAAAAAAATGTATGGGTCTTACATAACTTTTTACGTTAAATAACATGGGCTACTCCGTTTTTCGACATGCAAATCATTCCCATTTAGGTTGGTGAAGGGGGTTTTCGGCCCGTAATTTTGTTTATTTCAATTTTTTTACAATTTTCTCTACAGATTTATAAAATTTTAACAATTTTACGTAAAAAATATTGTCTTTGTCCAAATCGATATTTCCAATGGTTTTCGAGTAAATTGAGTTGAAAATTACTCTGCTCTTTAAGTTATTAGGCCAAAAATTACAAAAATCTGTTTACCATGGCAAATAAAAGACTGACGTTGCCACAACGCTTAACAATTTAAGTTATTGATAAACTGTCAATTGAGCTTTGCAGTGTTTAATTAGTAAAAGCGGTGAGTGGAAAATTTAAGTATACAACATTATTGCAACTCATAAAATGGAGTCATATTCAAACACGGAAATGGCAGATGTGCACTTGAAATACCTGTCGAGAAGGAAGTCTTCTATTCGGGTATGCTGCCGCATACAGACGCCTCGCTTCTGATGCATTTCCAGCCGCACGGCCGTACATAAAGTGCATATCAACGTCTGTATGAAGGACGCTATCTTGAAATTTTTAAGTTGTCATAAGGCGACGCTAATGGGAAAATTTTTGTAATTGTCTCCGTTTACTAAAAAAATTAAATGCAACGGTACAGGTTTTTTTTTCATGGCTCGGTAGTCCATTCATTATGGAAAACAAATACACAAAACGGAGGTCGATATTTTTTTTCGTTTTCAAGTTATTGCTAAAATCCCAATCTTGTTCTTAAAAAGAATTATTGCTTTATTTAGAAATTTCTTATATAACTGCAATATTTCATTTTTTTTATTAATTCCAAATATCTGAGTAGTTATAAAGATAATTGTTTCGATAACGAAGGAGGCTTTATCCTATGAAAATAGACAAATAAAAAATTATGTCAAACGATATGTGACAGCTCTTGCTTCGTGTAAAATTAGTGTCATTCGTGTGAGAAAAGTACTTGTGTTCCATATGAATTTCCCAGGTCTCTAACTAATTCCCTTAGACTTACTTGGGGATTTACAAAAAAACAAACCAACATATTAATAATATTATCTTATCTTGCACGGCGATGCTTTTCTTACAGAATGTAGTAACGTCTGGCTAAACGCGGAAATATGTACTTCTCTGGAGTAGCGTATTCTACGAGAGTATCGCAAAGCGTATTCTCTTGAAGCTATAACGGCATTTTTCAAACATAAACTGCCAACATATCATACGTTTTCACATTCGTAAAAGGCATTTTCCTTGTTCACAAGTACTTTTCCAACACAAATAACACTAATTTTGCACGTAGCAAGAACTGTCCCATTTCGGTTGGCATAATGTTTCAGTTGTCTATATTCATAGGGCATAGCCTGCCTCGTTATGGAAACAATCTTTATAACTACTCAAATATTTGGAATTAATAAAAAATTAAACATTGCAGTTATCAAAAAATTTCAAAATAATTCTTTTTAGGGCAAGATCGGTATAGTTTTACAATTTAATTTTGGATTGGCTTATGTCAATGTTATTTAGAGAACTAAATAAAATAGGATGTTCTAGCACAACCTCACTATTTTAGCAATAACTTGAAAACGAAAAAAGATATCGACCTCCGGTTTGTGTATTTGTTTTCCTTAATAAACGGTCTATCAAGCTATAAAAAAACTATATTGTTGCATTTCATTATTTTAGTAAACGAAGACAATTACAAAACTTTTCTCATTAGCGTCGTCTACCGTTGCGCAGAAAAATAATATTTTTATTTCTATATCATAAAAATAAATTTTATTAGTAGTTCTTTAAAATGAAACATCGTTTATTGAAATCGATTAAGGCATTTAGAAGTTATGACAATTTAAAAATTTTAAGATAGCGTTCTTCACACAGACGTTGCTATGGTAATAACAAAAAAAAAGTTCAAACAAAACTTGTAAAGGGTTTAACAGTGTATCTAAAAAATGTATTTGCAACTTAGGTTATAGAAGCAAAATTTCAAAAAACTTACAATTTTCTGTAACACTATAGCAGTTGCGCCCCCTAGCGTTGAAGTTACAAACTTGAAAATATTTTAAATCAATTTCTTTTGGTCGTATTTGTTAATTGATTTTTTACCCCATAATCGTAGCACGTCTAGTTTTCTATATACAGCCACTCGATATCGTTAATGGATCACCCTGTATATGCATGCATATTTAAACACCCCGTAACTTATAAATTAAACAATTTTGTACTATCTTTGGCCAAATGAACGTATTTTGGTTGCAAGATTTTTTAATAGCATTTATGCTCCTTAAAATCCTTTAAATATATCCTGTACTTTGTTTTTGAAATTATCGTTTGCTGTAGAAATTGAAGATTTAGCTTACTTTAATAATTAGATATAGAAGCTCAATAAAGACTATAACATATCTCAAACGAAAACTATCAAATAAATTCCGTATATACTGCAAAATATGAATCGTGTAGAAGTTAGAAGTAATTTTAATAAAGTACAAACTCATTTACTTCAATATTTTTTAAAAGAATGTTAAAATTTGAATCCTTCATATCTTTCGAACCAATTGACATAATTTTACAAATACACAAAAATAAACCTGAAATAATTTTCAAGGATCCCTTCCTGAACCAAGCCTACATTTTATTTTTTTGTAACGTTTTATTTGAATTATTGGAGCTATATTCTGTTCGTTGGCAAATTCTATAAACAATATTTAAGAAGCACGTTTGTTAAATCGGTGTAATTTAAAATATAATAAATAAAATAATTTTTATAAATATCCAAAATATGAATCACTATTATGAGTATCATGAATATATCATATCCAAGAAAATACTTATGAGCCATTTATTTATTTTCTCTCTTTATTTATAATTTCTATAACTAAGTACAATTTTACAACTAAATTGATTGAGCTAACGTTTATTAAATCCAAAAAACTTACCCGTAATTAACAGTAAAATAATGATTATTTTAGACATATTGACACTAACCACACCATTGAAAAATCCCTTATTTCATTTTACGATTCAGATCGAACCATTATCTGCATCATGACCATAAAATTTGATAAAACTGATAATTACTATATGAGATTGATTAATCCAATTCGTTTGGGTAGTCATGCCTTTTATTAGCACCATAAAAATATTTTATTATTTTATTGGTTAGTTAGTTATAAACCAATGTATCGTTATTTGGCAAATTTTTCCAAAAAATGATTTGGACACCATTATAGTTGAAAAGGAAATAAGTACCAAGTAAAACTAATATTACATTTATTTATTATATTAGTAAAATATACAAAAATATCACACAACATAATGTAGCATCAAAATTTCTTATGTTTGTGCGTTTAGTTCCTTCCTTCGTTTTTCTTCCAACTTTTCTTCTAGGTTGCTACTTACGCTTGCCACCACTAACTTCAAATTCTCTATGTTTCTGTAATTTTCTTCACTCTGGCTATCTAATTCAACGCCATGGATACGGATAACGATATCTGCTAACCTATCTATTTGTTCCTGGGTGATGGATAGTCCAGGTACGATGGACTTTCTTTGGGTAGCTGATGCTTCCAGTTGTGTCTCGAGTTCAGCGTTGAGGCAATAAACTCCTGAAAAGACCAAAATTCAAATTTTGTTAAGAATAGGTCATCATTAAAAGGTTGATTATAATTATTACACTAAAGTCCGGTACTTTGAGTCTCGGTTAAGGCCTGATTAACTAATCAGGAGATTAGACTGATTCTAAAATAAGTCAGTATGAGAGTGTATATCAGTGAGAATACATACATACATAATCAAATTCCCTTTTACCCTTAGGTGTCGGGATTACAAATAGTTTCCTAACTACCTACGAGTGTATACAAATTTTCTCCACTGCTTTTTGTCTCTTGCTATTAGTCTTGCTTCTCGCCATGACTTGCCTCTATTTTCTAATGCTTTTTCTATTGTCCTGTCCCACGTTTCCCTTGGTATTCCTCGCCTTCTTTTAGCTTGTATTTTAGCTTTCCGTATCCTTTTCACTTGTCTGCTATTATTCATTCGTTGTAAGTGCCCCCACCAGCTCAGCTGTCGTTGTTCTATGAATTCTAATACCGATTGTACTCCTAAATCATTTCTTATTTGCTCACTTCTCATTCTATCCATTTTCGTTACCCCTCTCACTCTTCTCAGAACTTAATTTCTGTTACTTGAATTTTACTCCTGTGTTGTCTCGTTAATATCTTCCCAGACTCATATGTTAAAATTTGTTTATAAACTGCTTGATATACATTCATTTTAGTTTTTGTAGATATTTCCCTCTTGTTTTTTTACAATACATGACTGGTTACAAATCGAATGAATCATGATTATTATGGTAAAAATCGAAAAAATCACAAAAATGGGGTTAAAAAACAATACTTTTTAGGGAATTTTTTTGGTGTATTTAAATTGGGTGTAGGACCTTTACACTTGGCTCGAGAAAACTTCATGTTATGTAGTATCATCACACCAAATTTCATCAAAATCGGTTCGATATATTTTGCATAATAATTTTGCAATCCAGATTAAAAAAAATGCAAATCTTCAAAATTTTGCACAGCAAAAACCAAGGCCCTTAGATACTTGAAAATTTAATCACATATAGAAGGGCTCTCAGACTATCAAACTTTTTTTGAAAAATTCGAATTCGTCAATTAGGAGAGCTCTGGCGCTTGTTTAAACATTGGTCGAATTTTTATACTTATAAACAATTAGAACTTTGTGAATATTCAATCAAATCAAATTTTTTAAAGCAGGTTTTAAAAGTTCTTGGAAAGACGCTTCTTTAAAAAAAAACAGATCGATTGATCAATTAGTTACGTAGTTATAGCCGATTCAATTTCGAGCAGGCCGAAGCGGCCGCGCTCTCTGCTTCCCCCACCACCACCACCCGTACGATTTTATTGAATTTCTCGCTTGCATAAATAACTTTAAACACGTTTTAAAGTAGGTTGCCAATGAAGAAAAGTATTGTAATCTTAGACCTGGTAAGTACTCGGAATACCAAAGGTATTTTTCGAAAAATTAGCCCGGATGTCCCAGTACATTTAGTGTAAATAACGGTTATAACTTGATCAATCGATCTTTTTTTTTTTTAAAGAAGCGTCTTTCCAAGAACTTTTAAAACCTGCTTTAAAAAATTTGATTTGATTGAATATTCACAAAGTTCTAATTGTTTATAAGTACAAAAATTCGACCAATGTTTAAACAAGCGCCAGAGCTCTCCTAATTGACGGATTCGAATTTTTCAAAAAAAGTTTGAAAGCCTGAGAGCCCTTCTATATGTGATTAAATTTTCAAGTATCTAAGGGCCTTGGTTTTTGCTGTGTAAAATTTTGAAAATTTGCAATTTTTTTTTTAATCTGGATTGCAAAATTATTATGCAAAATCTATTGAACCGATTTTGATGAAATTTGGTGTGATGATTCTACATAACATGAAGTTTTCTTGAGCCAAGTATAAAGGTCCTACACCAAAAAAATTCCCTAAAAAGTATTGTTTTTAACCCCATTTTTGTGATTTTTTCGATTTTTACCATAATAATCATGATTCATTCGATTTGTAACCAGTCATGTATTGTAAAAAAATTAAAACATTTTTTTCCTCTTCCATTTTCGCCTAAAATCAACTCTTAAAAAGATACATAATTAAATAGGAAGAAAAATATGTCATTTTTCCAATTTCTTTAACATATTGTACCGCCAAAAGTTAAGCCCACGTTTTTTTTATGCGCACAGAAAAATTTTCATTTCTAGTGATATTTGAAAGCCAAAAAGCCAAAAATCTCCGTGGATATACGATTCACCCAAATATGGCATTTTGAAACAGATACCATCTGGACTATTGCTGTATCCTACAAATAGATTTTTTGTCTTTCATTACATTTCTTAATGATGTGGTCCATAAACACCGTAAATAAGATAGGGCTCATTCCTCTACCTTGTCTTAATCCTTCCTTTGTTTTAAATATTGCCGATTTCATCAACTGTGAGAATACAAAATATTTAAATAAAATTTGGTGTTAAATGTGTTGAGGTAAGCTCCATTTTCAATCGAAAGTATTATCTTTCGGATTTGACAGAAACACCTAATGACGTCATCAATTATATTTTTTCCAGAAACATACCCAATTTTTTTCCCTGTTAAAAAGCTCTCTTTTTTCTAATAAACTTTTATTAAAATACATAAAAGTCATTAAGAATAAATAAAAGTATTAAACTCGATAATTCTTTAACACAAATGGTGATGATAACAATAACTAAACTTAAAAAATGAGGCAAACGCTTTCATACTACATACATATTACAATCTATTCTCTATATTATGATCTCTCATTTCAAGACATATCCAATCTTCGCCTGACTTCTTTGTGGGCTGCGTTTATTAACATTTTACCGTAATTATACAAGCGTTTGTGATTTTTTACTTTCAAATGATTACCTAATATCTCGCGAAGGTGTTTTGTAAACCTTATTTTTTAAAACCCCCCCATAAAAAAAATCGGGGGGTGACTTTCCGGATCACAGAATAGATCCATTAAGCTCAATCCATTTTTCTAGGAAAGTGTTATCTAAATATTGCTGCACAATTCTGGTCTTGTGGGTTGTGGGGTGGAGCCCCGTCGTGCTGAAACCATAGGTTTCTTCTTACCTGCAAAGACACATTCTCCAGAGGTGCAGGAAGTTCTTCTTATAGAAAATTTAGGTAACTCATGCTGTTCAATGTATGTTCATAAAAATAAGGTCCAATTCAATGCCTACCGATGATGCCGCACCATACATTTACTTCAAAATGGTCTTGGTTTTGGACTGGATTTACAATGTGGGGATTTTCAATGAACCAGTAAGTGTTCGTTGCGCCTCTTTGGCAAACCATTACTGACAAACCGACTTTCGTCCGTCCAAAGAACGTACCGAAAAAGGTTCTGCTCAACATTTTCTACATTTACTGCAATTTGAGCTATAAAAGCTGATTTATCCAAATTTAATTTCCGGCGAGCTTGCCGTATAGAATTTCTTGGATTTTATTCAAAATACTGTAACAGTCTAGCTGTATTAACATTGTTTCTTACCCTTCCGTCAATTATTTGATTTTTCCGAACAGAAAATGCGTCTTCATTTCGTCGCACGGTCGCCTCCAATCTTGTAACGGTTCTATGATCAGGAATAAGGCGCTCTGTATACATTTCTCGATATAACTCGACAGCTCTTCTTGAATTTTTTTGTGACTCGCCGTAAATTAGCAACATATCAACTTTTTCTGAATGAGAAACATTTTGTAAGCACAAAAGTTATACGTCTGACGTTCGTAATGAGTAATGACAAGTAGTATTTTGTGACGTCTATTCACTTTAAACAAGGAACATTCAATTATTTTCCAGCGACTACCTGGTTCTTCCACCGCTAATGTGATTTTTAGGTGGTATTTATTTTGAGACTCTTTTGGGCGTTATTGCTTGTAACTTTTAAACGGGAAGTAATACAGAAAAATTTCTCTAATAAATGTTTTATTAGGGAAAAAAAATTGGGTATGTTTCTGGAAAAAATATAATTGATGCCGTCATTAGTCGTTTCTGTCAAATCCCAAAGATAATACTTCCTATTGAAAATGGAGCTTAACTCATCCCAATTAAGGAGGTTCGATACCAAAAGAAAAATGGTAAGAATGTTTTCAAAGCAATTGAAATCTGTTAATAAATATGCAAACTGACTTGTGTAAAAATATCAGATCGATTGACAACGTAGTTTTTTTGAAAAATGATTTTAAAAATTATGCTCTTTTACACAGGCTCTTATGGGAGTTGGGAAAAAACATTAATCAAATGTGAATATTGCTCTTAAAAATGGTTAGGATCGGAAAAATAAAATTGTAATTAAAGAATTAAATATTACTAAACATTTTAAAACAATAAAAATATGCACCTACAATGTAATTATTGAGATAATGGAATGAATAGATACCGTTTTGACAAATTTGAACAAACATCTGATCCAATGAAAGGAAATATGGCAACACTGTACGCTGTATTTAATGCTTCGACTGATGCGTTATATGTATTTGAATAGCTCGATTATAGATTATAAAATTATTCCAGTCGAAAATATATGTAGTAATAATTAATATTAAATAAATTTTTCGTGATCTAAAGCAATATACTAGCAATTTGAAACAAAAATTGAAAGGATCTCTTTGCAAAACGAACAGTATAGATGTTATGTCATAATCTTCAATTTGACAAGTCGACGTCTCACTGTCATACACTGAACTTCTTGATAGTTATCATATGGATTCTCGGTTTGCACATTTTATTTTATTCTCATCAATCCACATTCTCTTTTACACTCATTTTATATTACTTTTCAGTCATTACTTTTCCTTTATACCTTGGTTGTTCATTCATGTTTATGGAATTCGCGCAAAGTTGACAGTAATGACAGTTGACCCAACTTTTACCACCACGCCATGGCAATGTTGCCAGATTTCATCCATAATTTTACAAGCTCATAATGAATAAATAGACGCTTTTATTCAAATAAAAAGTGAACTGACGTGTATTAAACACGAAAAAAATATGCAAGCTAATATGTGTTGTATAAATTTCATTTTTAATAGCATACTTAGTTCGCTGAAATTAATTTATGTAAAGTTGGTACTGCAACAAGACTCCCATGTATAAACATAGGCATACTCTCCGCACCACCCGCCCCGGAAGAGGTGTATCGAACGTCCTTAATTAACACCAGACTCAAAGTACCGGGCCTAAGTCAAACTGGCAGAACGCTATTAATGAAGTTGAGTTTACAATACTTACAATTCAGATAAAGGTTTTTACCGTTGCTTTTCGCTACTAGATTTTACAAATGAAAAATATTGATTAAAGAAAAAATATTTTTCCAAAAAAGTTTGATACATATCACTTTTTTATTAAAATTATAATTATGTTTAATGTCCTGGTTATTTATTTATGAAAACCCCATAAATTATACATTGTTTTGGACCTAAAATTTTGAAAAGCTAGTGAAATGTGACCAAAAAAGAAATAGCATAAAATCGGGTTTCCTTGAATATTTTCGGAACTACATATTCGGAATTTACTATATTTAAAAACGAATCTGTGATCACCATAAAATTCTGCACATTTTTGCCCATTTAACCATTTCTGTAACTTAAAATAAGCATCTACAAACATTTTTGATTAAACTTGATTAAAGTTCGAAAATAAATTAAAATAGCAAAAATAATTCTTGAGCAATTAAAATTTAATGAAATGTGGATGAAAGAGTTAAAGAAAAAACACTTAAATATATTACTTATTGATCGTATATAAAGTTTAAATTTTTTGTAAAATTTTACAAAAACAGAACATTTACAAAGAGTTAATGCTATAATGCTTCATAATATTCTTAAATTATAAACTTCAAGATAATGTTTATGGTCATCAAATATTGACAATGTTTTATGGTTAACCAGTGCAACAATAAAAATTATAATGAAAGTCCTACCTGAGTTTAGCATCAGGAGAAGCAAAGCAACAATTTTGTGTACGAACATGTTTGCGAAAACGTGGCTATTTCTAAACTCTAAACGGTGTCTACATTTAAAAATACTGTGTGTCACGCAGCTTATTGTGAATTTTAATTTTCTAATCCCTGCAATAATTAGATATCGAAATAATATTTATTGGATATAGTCTGTTTCCTATGTTAATTGTGGGAATTAAGATAAACGTTTTATTTAATAAAACAGTAAAGTAATTTAAAAAGAAACAGATGATCTTTACTCTCGTGTTTGGATTTCAATGTTTTTATTTATAGCGCTTATTAAGTAGGTATTCTATAAAAGATATAATAATGAACAAATATTATAAAGTAGTATTACGATATCGATACAAAATACGATTTTTTTCTGAACAGTATTAAAGTCCGAAGAGTTTTACAGATTGCCGAAGTTTATTTATTGTTGTTGACAAAAAAACATTTTTTTTATTTTTAAATCAGATTAAGTTTGTAGAGTAAAGTGTTATAGTTTATATTTTTTGTAATCGCTTTGACAAATCTCTTCTATATTGAATATGCAATTATCTCAATACTACCTTTCGTAAATATGAAGAATGCCGATTCTATCCCGATTTTAACCTAGTTGACTGATTTCCTATATATTTTTGAATCTGGTCACGAATCTGATGTCCAAACTTGACGGACGGCCTTTTTAGGGCAAAGAAGGGCAAAAATACAATTATTATACATATTGAACAAAGTGTAAGGTGTGTTTTCCTATGTATATTTGGGTGCTCAACTTAAATCCGATGTCAAAAAAGGCACTCTGCTCTTCCAAGAGCAACAAGAGCAACAACTCAATTCTATTGAAAAATCTCAAACGTGTAGTGTTTTTTAAGAATAGGCTCTAAACTTAGAAGAAATACATAGAATATGATAGATACAAACCTACAAATTATAATAGCAATATTGCCATAAAACTGAGCTATGTTCTCATCAAAATAAACAATAAAAATTTTACTGAAACTATTCTTTGTTTTTTCATGGTCGATGTAAAATCCAATTTAAAATCATTTCTGAACAACAATACAACTGTTAAAAAAACACAACGATATAATTAAGCGTTTTACACAAATCCCAGATATGCCTGAATTATTTTTTTTGAAAATTAAAATAAAACTAAATAATATGTTTAATTTTAGGTTCTATATTACATAAAAAATCTTTAAAAAAATTCTTGCACATTGGTTTTCTTAAAAAGTATAGGCATACAAACCACTAAAAAATATATTTTTTATTTTTTAACAAACATTTTAAAATAGCATATAACAAACTGTAAAGTAAAAAAATATATACATTTGGGAGGGTGTGTATTCTAATTATTATGGTATATTACATCATATCTCATGCATTTTCGCTCGACTTTTTTATGACAAACTCTACAACGCGTTTGTTTTGGTTGCAAGACATATATAGTGGTCTTTGTTATTCAATCGTGACTCTAAATGTTCCACCGAACTAGGCCTTCCTGGCTTTCTTCCACTGTTTAGGTATTTTTCCATTGTCCATCGAAAGTTTTAATAATTGTCATTTTTTCCCTGTAATCGCCGTACGGTACAAACTTAAATTTTGTCCAATCGTAGTCGCGCCATCTTCATCTTCATCAATATCTGTACCTCTGATCACAACTTCTGCTGCCAAGAGCTGAGAACCGAGCAAGTTATTTATGTTCAAGTACTCCTCATCTCCAGAATCTTCGTCTGTCAAATCTTCACCTGAGTTTATAGGAGGCAACAAAATAATATTTATTTCCGAAAGTAAAAAGTAGTCATCTTCTTCCAAACTTCGCAAAAGATCATTTAACGTGAGACCTCTGAAATAGAAATACATTATACCCCTAATGCCTATTGTCCTTTTAAAGGGACAGTAAACATATTGGGCTAAATGCATAGGTGCTTAACATCTTAATCTCAACTTTTCAAATAAAATGAAAAGTCTGATCCTTTTACCTAACAAAAACACCTAATAACAATTAACTTTAGGAGGTAACCCTTAGCCCACTAGCTTCAAATCAATAGGCTGCTATATTTTTTAAAAATCACAAACTTACACAAGCAGTTATCTTACTTACGTAACACAGTTAAGACTAAACTGGCTCTTAAAACACGTGCCTTGGGATATTCTGAAATCAGACCAGCAATCCTATATCTGATCGGGAAGGTTTAAGAGTTTAAGAGTTTAAGAGGGTATTTAAAAAGGTGCCTATAAATGTCGACATTCAATTTTTTCGATTTCTCCTACTGAAGACTTGAACTTAGGAAAGTTCCAGAACATGTGGCTGTAACATGATGGTGGTCCAGCATACTATTCGGTGGTAGCACGTGAAATACTTAATTGTGATTTCAATGGTCCCTTGATTTGTAGAACTAGTCCGGTAAATCGGCCTGCTAGATCACCAGATCGTACTTCGCCAAATTTCTTTTTGTGAGGCTATCTCAAAGACAAAGTTTACAAATTAGAACCAACAACACGGGAGAATATGATTGAGTGAATTAGAAATGCTTGTGCCGAAATTCAATCATACGCACTTCTCAGTTGTATACAATCAAAAATCACCCTGAATCATGTCATATGTTTAACAATTTGGACAATATTTTGGCTTATTTAATAACCTTATACAAAGAACCTAGTTAGCCATGGAAACATTGCGTGCGTGTATTCTTCCTTGATAAATTTACTAAACAAATTTTTTATTTCTTTATTAATGAAAAAAATCTTATAAAATGTGTACTATATTGCCTTCATCCTGGTGTATACAAAGAGCATACATTCAAAAAAAAATTATAATGCTGCATATTATCCACCTCATTGATAGACAATTTTCGTTGAATATATTCACCCTTAGAACATACAAATTTTCATTAGTTTTCTTTATCTGTCCCACTTACCCAAAAGGATGTACGATGTCTAAAACAGGGCAAGTTGTTATAAAACAACTTGTATAGCACCTATTGTATTTGTTTTCTCAATTAAAAACAAAATTAAATATGGTCAATTTAATAACGGTATGTACTGGTTCCATAATAGTCTTATTGTGGAGGGTCAGTAAATAAACCAAAATATTTTGCAAATTGTCAAACCAAATTTACATGTATATATACAGTTATAATAAAAAAAGAGGAGATTACAAAGAACCACAAATACGCAGGGTGATGTATTTCATTTCATTCAAAAATAGGTTTAGTTTTTATCTCTGACATGCAACATTAAATTTTTTTATAAATTTCCTTGAGATCGCAAAAAAATTTCCCAAAACTTCAGTCTTTACGATTTTTTCTAGATAGACGAGAGGAAAAAATAATATGGGTCAGTGAATATCTCACATTAATAAGTATGTAGCTGAAATTATTTAAAAAATTGATTAAAATATTTTTATCCATCTATGGTCCTTTGATGGTAGTAATCTGTGTTCTGTGAAATTATTAACTATGAAATTCGACTTTAATGCATTAAGAAGGAATATCGGGGTCCCAGTGAAGTGAGGAGCGCAGGGGGGGTCCTATGCTTTTCTTATGGGACTAAAGCCCGCTGCCAATTTGAAAAAATTAAATTCTATTGAAATTATTTGCGATAAACATTATCCATATAGCACCATATGCACATAGAATACATATTGACTAATTAACAACATAAAAATATCATATTTAAGTAGTTTTAAATTATATTTAATGAACGCATAAAGACTATGTAGATGTGGCAACAGCGCTAATAATTGACTTACAGTTGTACACACTGCGAACCTACAGACTTCGGACATCGGAGATATTGCGCGTCAAATTCGGGTAAAGATGCGTACGCGTTCAAAAATGTATTGTGTGTAAACTATCTAGGTACAATATAATTATTATATTATAGCAAATATATCGTATTATCCTCGCGAAGATTTGTATCCTTTATTTAAAATCCGTAAATCTTGTGAACTGGTAAAACAACGAGAATTATGTTAATTTAGTTCTAAAGAAATGAAATGACACTCGCGCCCATCTCTCGTCCAAGTCAAAGAAAATGTTGGATGCAATTTTGAAGGTTCTATGATAGAAATTACATTATTCGTGTTTTTAATCTCTATTTTAGTAATGTTACAAAAGTTTTGCAACTATAACTAATTTTTTAGATATAAAGTTTGCTGAGAAATATTTATGTTCCTTTGTTATTCCGTACAAATTCTTTTATCTCAAGTATTACTAATTATATTAATCAAGTAAAAAAACTTTATGTAACCCTAAATATTGCTGGTTAATGATTACGATGTTTTTATAAACCATTAAATATATTAAAAGGATTTATCAAATGTATTTTTTATTCCAATAAATATATCACAGTTTCCTAGTCTTTTTTAATTAATCTAGTTTTTTAAAAACATTACAAAAAATCATCTGTGGTGGATAATTTATTGTTGATAACAATGTACATGGGATTTAGGAAAAATGTATATGTTTGAATCAATTTCCTTTTTATCAAGTCTTTCAAATGTGTTCCCTCCTTGCTGTAAGCTGATTGCGACGTTGCCATATTAATCCTCAAGTCAGACAGAAATGCAATTATTGGTTTCTGTTTAAAATTAATACAGCTGTGTTCAAAACTTACATTAGTTTTACATCAAAAATAAGGTAATACTGTGTACTATCTAAGGAAAAGTTTTATTCCACAATTTCTACATTTTTTTCTCAGTTATCGGCAAAAAAGAGCCGCGTCCATCTTCGCCATATTAAACCTATGTTAAAATGAACAACTTTCTACAACAATATCTCAAAATCTAGATTCAAAACAACATTTCAAAAAAATATGACGCACAGAGGGAGCTATATAAATTTCAAGTATAATATGAGAACTGCTCTTATTTCATTAAAATGTAGAAATATGTGTTTTACAAGAACAATTTTTCTTTCATAACTAATCAACGCTTGTATCATTCCACAAGGCTACCATCAATAAAAAGCCTACAGGTTGATGCAGGACTACAAAATGTCCTGAAATCATTTATCAACAAAGCGTCAAAAAAGATTTTCTAAAATCAAATTTTTATTATCTTTTTTACAAAATAAAATGTACGTAAAATTTTTGATAATGCTAGAAATGATTATATTTACGTTTATTTACATTATATTGCATAATATAATGTAATAATATTTAATTTTAGAAAAAAGTACTAATATTAAAATTACTGAAAATTCACTGTTTTCGAGAAAATTGCAATTGGCAGCTTCTATCTCTATATACCGCTTTTTTATTAAGAACATTCTGTCAAATTACTTCATCGCTCTGGATCATTCAAGAAAAAAATATATAACTTTTAGTAATTTTAACTAGTTTTTTTTGTGTAAAATGTAAATTTACATTGCAATATATATCAAAAAATTGACTTAAAAATCACTAAATAAAATCGCAGCTAGAGATCTCTGCAAAATAGTCGAAAACTACCGTCAACTGACATTTTAAGCATCCTAAAAAACTTACTTATACTGATTTTCAATGCTACACATTGATGTTGGCAAAGATAGTTACAACCAGATTTTACTTAGCAAAATATGTAAAAAAGTTCATATGAACATGGGTCCACAAGTGCTTCGTTTCCGAGTTACAGGGTGTTATTTTTTTAAATTGAGTTTTTTAAAAAAACGCTTTAGCTGATTTTAATGAAATGTTTACGGCTTATTAAAACAGTTATCATACATCAACTGGATCAATTAGGTCCCGTGCTCATATGAACTTTTTTACATATTTTGCTGAGCGGAATCCCCCTTAGGCTTTTGTCATTTCAACTCTGAAACACCCGGTACAATTTTGGGAAAATATAGAACTAATTTGAATTAACATAATACCTATAAACTAACGTCAAATTGTAGGAACTAATAAAAAAGTGTGTAAAATTAAAAAATTGTTCATTGCTGATTTTCATAACTGCCTGACTTAGGGTCACATTTACCAAAATCGTACGAAATGTAAGTAATAATGTATCATAATTTGGAAGATCAGTGGATCTCAAGCCGCCCCTAACAGAAAGAGATTCGGTGGTGTTTCACAAATTGATTCCTTTGAAATTGAACTCTCTATAGGATTTTCTTATCCGGAAACTTTTATTAGAAATAATGATTGCGTTGACAACAGATTATGGGATGCGGAACAACATTACATTACTTCCGTATAAAGCGGAGATCTCTAATTATAGCAGAAGAAGAAAATCTATATACCGGGTGACTCAAGCCAAACGTAGCTCTGTGGTTAGTGATGGGAACATATGGAATATAATTAAAATAGATTCAAATGGACTAATACCACTTTTTGTTAAGCTGGAAGTAGTTACAATTTTGTAATTTAAATTGCATACTCCATATTTTTTGTTTTCTTTTATTGGTATCTATTTAAACAAGTTGTCTGAAATTTTTGGTAAAATTAATAGATTGGTGATTATTTAGGCTTAATATAGCTACAAAATGTAAAGAAAGTTTCTTTTAAACTTAGCAATTTTAAACTTCAGTGTGCCACTGAAATCATAAAGTAATTTTGAACTACGAGACATTTTATTATTTTTCCGTTGTATCATACTTATTTATTCATTTTTTTTGTTACAGTCTGTGACCAAAGATTTTTTTGGAAGAATAATTACGAAGACGGCTCCCTCAACCGGTGAGTACTTATTAAATTACATTATCTTTTTTAGTTTTTAACATTATAAAATAGAAATTTTCATTGGAACACAACTATCGTACACGGATTTCTAAATTGCTATTTTTTTAAATAATTTAAAAAATAAAAATTATCCACCGTACCTCATATCTACGCCACTGGTTTGAGTTGAAACTTAATATGTTCACGATGAATGTTGAATAAATATGGAATATAATCATATATTCTGTACACACAATTATTTTCAATATCCTTTTCCGAGTTATTTTTTTATTTTAACATTATACGTATAATATTATTTTTTATAAATAAATCTCATACAATTTCTAATACTATACAGGGTGTTTCTAAAATAGGGTTTCAAACTTCTGCTACGTTTATAACTCATTAAAATAAGCCAAAAAGTTCCTATTAGCATGTGCCCTAAAACGCACCCTTAGGAAGTTATATGCCCTTAAAAGGGCTCAAACAAAACTGGTTTTTTTTTCTGTTATTGACAAAACGGTCGCAAATAAATAGAAAAAAATTTATGGGTCTTACATAACTTTTTACGTTAAATAACATGGGCTACTCCGTTTTTCGACATGCAAATCATATGCGTCCCATTTAGGTTGGTGAAGGGGGTTTTCGGCCCGTAATTTTTTTATTTCAATGTTTTTACAATTTTCTCTGCAGATTTATAAAATCTTAACAATTTTACGTAAAAAATATTATCTTTCTCCAAATCGATATTTCCAATGGTTTTCGAGTAAATTGAGTTTGAAAATTACTCTGCTCTTTAATATTAATATTATATTAGCTATTGTCTGCAGTAGTAATTAGTTCTTTAATTAGTAAGTGTAACTCTAAATTTAAATAGTCTTAGTTTATGTCCTAAATTATTTATTAAATGATCGGATCCTTCATAACTGCAATTTATTTGAAAAAAAAAGCCCTTTTAAGGGCATATAACTTCCTAAGGGTGCATTTTAGGGCACATGTTAATAGGAACTTTTTGGCTTATTTTAATGAGTTATAATGCAGCAGGAGTTTGGAACCCTATTTTAGAAACACCCTGTATAACCAACATTTCCAAAAAAATTTTCAAAAGGGAATAATTGCGAAAGAATTTGAAAATGTCTGCTCTAACAATTTTTCAGATAAGTTTTTTTTAAATGAAATAATAATAATGTGGGTACACATGTTTACAAGTGACCCATTTTTAAGTATTACGTCAAGAGCGCCAGCCTGACGCCGCCCGGACCGGTCTACACCTTAGATAAATGATACTGTAGATAGGAAACTTGAACAGATTTCGTGGTCAGCAACAGCGCTAACTGTTGACACTTTCTCCAACTTCTATTGCTTTCCTTTTCTAGGAATTATCGGTAATACAGTGAGTTAAATTACCTGTAGCCGGTAAAAGATGCAAGCGCCATCTAGTTGTACGCTCTACAACTATATACCTACCTACTCAATATTTGTTTTAGGTATTCTGCCGCCGCTAAATTTAAAATTACATAACAAATCTCACCCTACACAGATCACTCAGAAATTGATTTTGTAAAATAATTTTCACGTAGATAATTTTTTTTGTCACCATGAGAAAATAAGTACATTTGATAAAAAGCATTAAAATCACTCAAGCATTAAAGACACTTTTAAATGCTCTAATAGTCTTCCTACTTAAAATAAGAAATAATTTTGATACTGTAACTTTTTAAAATGTTTGTTGAAAAAATTTCAAATTTCAGTACATATTTTGAAAAAAAAAGAGTGAAAATGATTATAGAGTTTCAGTGCTTTCTATATTGTATTAGCTTTCACGGTGAATAAAAAAATATTACAAGTAAATAATTTTACTAAACCAATCTTTGATTAATTCTTGTAATAGAGATTTATTATGCAACTTTAAATTTTTCGTTGTGTTGATATCCATAAAAAAAACTACCTACCTCTGATCACATTTTTTATTAAAAAAAAAAAAAAAAAAAAAACATTTTATTATTAATAAAAAAATGTGATTATATGATGATGAGACATTATTATGTTATATAAATAAATGTGAATGAAATATCTAATAAAACACACTAAAAACACAAATAAAACACACACCAACACTCGCCAAACCTAACCAACAATAAACATTAACAACATGAATGACATGAAATGATTCATAATTGCAATTGTCAAAATTGGTATTCTACAAAATCTTTGTGGAGACATCTCTTTCTCCAACTTGTATATCAAGTCACGTGATTCCCAGTTTCCCCATATTTTCAAGAATAAGTTCTCGGGCCCTGGTCTACACAGAGTGCCAGTTCGGATAAAGCAAAGTGAAATTCCTCGAGTATCTGGTGTCAAGTGAGAGCATACGACCGCTGCCCGAAAAGGTCGAGACAATAAGAGACTACCCGCTACCTATGACAATAAAGCAATTACGACAATTCCTTAGCGACCTTAACTTTTACCGACTTTGTATCCAACACAGCAGGTACTCAGGCGCCACTGAATGACATACCTAAAGGAGATGTTAAAAAGAAAGCACCCATGAATTGGACACAAAACGCGAAAAGTACTTTCAAGGCGGCTAAAGAGAGCTTAGCACAGGCAGCGCTACTCGGGTAGCGCGTAGGGTATTTAAAAAACTTAACCTAGCTCAATGCAGGTACGCTGCTTACGACTGCGAATTTCTTGCGATTTGCGAAGTAGTCAAATACTTCCGGCATATGGTCGATGCAAGAACATTCGCGATTTACACCGACCATAAGCCTCTTACGTTTGCCTTCGCGAAAAAGTCGAGTCAGTGGTGTACACCGCGGCAATTCCACTATCTGGACTTTATTAGCCAGTTTACGACAGACATTCGTCACATGTCTGGTCGCGAGAACGTTGTAGCAGATGCCTTGTCCAGACTTGAGGGTTGCTTTCGGTGTGCAGCAAAATAAAACCCTCTCTCAACTGTAAATAAAAGTATTTTTTATTGAAAACTAAGTGTTCAAAAACAGATATATTGTCGGAGCGAGCGTTCGCTCGAGAGTCGTCTTGGTGTGGAGTCCCTAGCAGGTTTAAGTATCTGGTCCTTGGCGCCAATCTGCCATGGTCCTCTTCCGGCAACCATATCCCGCGTTGCACATTGTTTCTTGTCGCTTGCAACGGGTAGACCGGTCCGGGCGGCGTCAGGCTGGCGTTCTTGACGTAATACTTAAAATGGGTCACTTGCAAACATGTGTACCCACACATCCCCCTGCTAGGATAGATGCAATCACGGAAACTGCAGCCGGTCAGGAAACGATTCCTTCTACCGGACCTCGTGATAATTCTCTTGGGTGTGGTTGGTACGGATAATGGGACAGAAGTTGATGGGAGGCTATTGTCCTGTATACGCAAGTTTGACTCTGTCTATGGACACTTTAACTTCGCGACCACGCACTAGCACCGTCGTCGCGCTTGTTCACTGTAAACGGTCCCTCATATGGAGTCTGTAGTTAAGTTTTAACGCCGTCAGCACACACAAAACATGTCGCTGTTGCCAAGTCTTTAAAAACGGATGGCGTCTTCTTGCATGGCGTTTAGCTGCGGCTGGACGCAATCTCTCCATATAACGTCTGAGGTCCTTAACAAAATCCGCTCCGGTGCTGAGTTCTTCGTCTGTCCTGCGGGAATGAAGAAATTCTCCGGGTAGGCATAGATATTGTCCATACACCATCTTGGCCGCGGTAGCTTGAATATCTTCTTTCCACGGTGCACGTATTCCCAATAACACACTGGGAAGAACGCTAGTCCATCGATCGTTTTGGTGGTATTTTATCGCTGCTTTTAATTGGCGGTGAAAACGCTCTACCATGCTGGTGGGTGATATGCAGTGGTTCGGAGATGAGTCGTACCCAGTAAACTATTCAGGTGCGATTCGAACTGTTGACCCTAATCCGTCGTTATTCACAGGGGTGATCCAAATCTGCTTATTCAATTAGCATATAAAACGCAAGCTACAGTTTCTGTCTCCTGGTTCTCTAATGGGATTTCTTCTGGTGAAACGTTCTATGCAGGTTAAGCAGTAGCGGTAGCCTTCTAATGGATATGTTCGAACCTCGTTGATGGCGGTTGGAATGAACCTGTCGTAGAAGTCACGTGTCGCGGACTTTTGCGCGCTGACATTCGACGCAGCAACGTGCCCATCGCTGCTATCACGTTTTATTGTCGGTCAGACGAAACGTTGCGTAAGGAACTTGACCGTGGCGTTAGTACTGGGATGCGAAAGACAATGCGCCGAGTCGAACACCACCCTACGAAATGGCTTGGTGATATACATCCGGGCCACGTCCGTAGATAAGTCACAAAATACAGTCGCGTTCGTGTCAGGTATTTTGGTCCGCTTTAGCGTGACGTCGTATTTTCCATCGACGTACTCCTTAATTTCGTCGCAATTTTGTTGCAATGCTGCGAGTGCCTCATAGTCTAAAGTCGCACGTACAATCGGCACCACCCAAATGTGAACGGCAATATAGTACCGTGTAATTTAAACTTCAAATCATAGTCGTAAAATTCAGTAGTTGTCAAATATACATATATGTCACTTAGAGCAAACATAATTAAATGTAAAGAATATGCCGGAGCATTTAACTGAAGCGCATAGAGCAAGGGCTATAGCTAAATTAGAAGATAATCGGTCTTTGAGTGAAGTGGCTGCTAATTTAAATGTCAGTAAGAGTTGTATATTTTATATTAAACAACGCTGGCAAGAACAATAATTACAAAGACAAGGTGTCGGGAAGGTTTCCAATGACGGGGAAAACAATGCCTTGGTCGAATTTATCAATAAGAATCCCTGTCTGTGTTACGCCACTAAAAAAAGTCTGATTTACTACGATAAAATCCAGATGAAATTTCCATAACAACCAAAATGCGTTCACATTTGGGTGGCGCCAACTGTACTTGAGGGTTGCTTTCTGTGTGCAGCAAAATAAAACTCTCTCTCAATGGTAAAAATAGAAGTATTTTTATTGAAAGCTAACTAGAGA